GCTAAAAGTCATGCTCTCTGTTCCAAGGCTGTTTTTTAGTTCCTAAGCAAATGACAGAACAAGAAACCAACAAATATCTACATATATTAAGCTATTAAAAGAGCAAAATAATCAGGAAACATCGTTAAACACATGAGTCTTTTCATATGTAGGACTTAGATGTAAGTATGCTACAAAGCAAAATTTGTAAATGTTTGACTTGCATGTGGAACCCATCCATTATTATATATAGGAAAACATGCAACCTGGGATCAGTAACTGTAATACGTGAGGAAATGTGTCACATCATGTTAACAATAATTCCCACTGTTACAGAGTTACTATAATATATGTTGATGTGTACTTTAAAAAACTTGTAGTGCCTATTTCCCTTCTATGTTCTGGCACTTAGAAACAGACACGGACATTGTGACAAAAGGAGCCCTTAAAAATAACTGAAATGTTTTTGTAAAATTTTCAGCAATCTGTGGTTGGCTGAATTTTGGGTTGAGGACACATATATTTGTAGCAAAAGTTTGAGCTGCTTCTAAAGCAGGTGAAAACAGTTATGTTTATCTTACTGTAGGTGTTGTGACAGGGTATAAAGGTATCTGCATTTATATTTTATTTGAGTGTCCTAAAGCATTTTTCCTTCCTTTTTTCTGTGTAGCAGAAGCAACATGGCATAGTGACTTAAAGTGAGGCTCTAGGCTCCTACTTCCTTTCCCACATCCCAGCATGAGCATCCCATGCAGTTTCACTGTGCCTTGGCTTCTTTTTTTCTAAGAGTAGAGATAGTGACGTTTTAGGATCGCTTTAAGGTAAAAATATTTTAATTTGTTTGTGTGTGAGAGAGACAGAGTCTCACAATGTAGCTCTGGCTTGCCTGGAACTCGCTATGTAGACCAGGCTGGCCTCACACAGAGATCCACCTGCCTCTGTGTCCCAGGTGTTGGGATTAAAGGAGTGCATCACCTCGCCTGTCTTATATTAATGTTTTAAAGCACTTAGAACAGTGTCTATAAAACACAAGAACTATACATTACATGTTACTATCATTATAATTTGTATTTTCCTGAATTATACAGTGAAAAGAAAAGGTTGGTAATCTAAAACTTATCTCCCACCTTATTGCTGTTAGTGCCTTGATTTGATTGATTGCTCATCCCCCCACAGTAATTCAGGAGTAGATCCCGAGTAGGCAAGGCCAGGGGTTGGTGAACCACAGTCCATCAGCCACATTCACAGCCCGTTTTTGTACCCTACAAGCTGAGATTAGTTTTATACTGCTGAATTATGGGGGGAAAAGAATATTTTGTGACACGTGAAGATTGTATGACACAAAATTTTCAGTGTCTGTAAACAAAGCACTTTGAAAACACTAATACAAACTCATTTGTTTATTTTTGCCTGGGGCTGCCTTGACACTGCACGATGAGAACTGAATAACTGGGCAGGGCCACATGGCTCACAGAGCCTAAGACATTGACTACATGGCACTTTACAGCATAGGTTTTCTGCTACTCAGAGCTGAGAACATTTCAACCAGTGCTAAGTTCTACTTTCATAAATGTGGGTTTTCTGACATGATACATATTGCAATACATGGGTGGGTGATTTCTGTGCAGTATATTTATTTTGTGCATTATATTTATATGTTAAAAAGCCTAGTCTTAGAAGTATTTTCCCAAAGAAATGTGTTTTTTTTTACTTGCTGAATTGTTATAACATTGAAACAAGAAATTTCCTGGTGGAATGTAGCAAATATATGAAATAAATGTTGTCTAAATTAAATAGAATTAAATTATTAGTTGACCCTTCCCTATAATACTCATTTATTTTTTCCAAGTCAATAGCTAATTTTTCCAATATTGTTTTATAATTTTCTCACTATCTCACCATAACATGCCATCTATGTAATATTTATTATTAGTGTATGAGAGAGAGAGAGAGAGAGAGAGAGAGAGAGGAGAGACTCATGCATGTGTGCCACGATTCACACACATGGAAGTCAGAAGACAACTTTCATGAGTCTGCCCTCTTCTTCCACCATGGGTTCTGTGGATCAAAGTCAGGCCATCAGGCTTATGTAGCAATTGCTTTTACCTGCTGAGCCATCCCACCACTCCTCATCTTATGTAATATTTAATTAATCTAACAACAAAAATGTATAATACTTGAGGCTGGAGAGATGGCTCAGTGGTTAAGAGCACTCACTGCTCTTGCAGAGGACCCAGGTTTGATTCCTAGCACCCACATGGCAGCTGACAACCGTCCATAACTCCAGTTCTAGGGGATTCAACACCCTCTTCTGACCTCCACAGGCATTGCACAACATGGATATACTTACACACATGCAGACAATGCACTCATACACATAAAATAAAAATTAAAAAAATATTTTAAATGTATAATACTTTACCACCTACATTAACTAGTAACCTTTAAATTATAGCCTGTACTTCATATATAAATGGTCCTTGAGTTAAGATGTTATAATTTAACAACGTTTTGGCTTTATGATGGTATGAATACAACACCCATTTAGTAGAAACTGTCCTTTACATTTTAAATTTAATCTTTTCACAGAGCTATAGC